ACAATATTGCCAAATATAACAAATATCATTCGATGCTTTCACAAGTTCCGAATCGAATAGATACGGCAGAAAGAGAGATTCTTATAAAAAGAACCTCATCTTCCCCGAACTTTATCACGTGTATATGTTTAATTGTACCTTATCTTTGATATATGTTTTTGTCCTTTTTTTAGATGTTGATTTTAGTTACAATAATAATATTATTCTAACCTTGTAATTGAAAATCGTCTTGAAATGCACAATTTTCCAAATTATTTTCAAAACAATTTGGTCCTGCTGCCTGATCAGTATGCTGATCCCGTAATGTAAGGTGTTTGTCAAAACATGTATTTACTTCTTGATCTGTTGGCTTTGGTCGTATTTTTGAACAAAAACAAGCTGGATATGCATTTAGATATGAATCATCAAAAATTTCCATTTGCACGTTTTCCTATATATATAGTTGTATGTAATATTTAAATCTAATTTTTGTCATTGAACGGTAGTTTATTATGAAGCAGTATATTACAACAACAACAACCGTAAAACAACAATAAATCAAAACAATTAAAAAAAAATACGATTACAGCTGTGTAAAAAATAACTCATTTAACTTCTGTAAATTTTATTTACATTTCAGCTTTATCCTTCCTTTTTCTAGATTTGTTTCGATATTGCACCTTTTCTATATTTAATTACTTCGCACCCTTTTGAAAAGTTTATCCTTCCGAGTCTCTTTAACCTACATTGTCATTGTAGATGTACTTAAAGTAAAAATGAAATTAAAGTTAAACGTCGTTAAGACAACAGATTTATTCAACACTTCAATTTTAAACGAAATTAAACATAAAAATGTCAAATATATGCCATAAATGTATAATGGCGCATCCTATGTGTCCATTGAGTGTGCGTTACATGTGTTATTGGAGGTCATACAACACGTATTCATTGAGGGCACATTACACGTGTTCCGGAAGGGCACATTGATAAAATTAACGGTACCAATTTTGCTGCACCAGATGCTCATTTCGACAATAAAAGTCACTTCGGTAATGCTCGAGGTCAAAATTTGTTTAAATCTAAAAATTAAAAAAAAAATGAAGAGCTTATAAACCACAAAGGACAAAAAGTATAGCAAAAGCTGGGCACGGAATCAGAGCTTTGCACAAAGTAGATATATTCCTTAATTTTGAATAATTTCAAAAACTTGCATAACACAATATCCGTATTTTCATGCCAGTTCCAAAGTTCAGGCTGCTGGGCTGATGATACCTTCGGGGACTAAGAGTCTACCAGCAGAGGTATCGATCAAGTGGTAGTTATAACATTAACGGTACTAATTTGGCTGCGTATTTCGACAACAAATGTCTCTTTACTGATGCTCGAGGTCAAAATGTTTGACAATCCAAAACTTTTCATAAAACTTTAGAACTTAAAAACCACAAAGGACAAAAAGTATAACAAATGCTGGGAAGGGAATCAGAGCTTTGCACAATGGAGATACATTTTTTAATTTTAATTTTTTTTAGAAACATATTTAGTAATATCTGCATGTGCATGCCAGTCCCGAGGTTCTGGCTACTGGTCTTGTTATACTCTCGGGGAATAACAGAGTTTTGCACAAGGGAGATATATAAACGTGTTACTGGGTGGCTCTAAAGGGCGTATTCTTGGAAGACATTACACGTGTTCTTTATATTATCCATGTTTCTGGTGAAAACGTTACACATGTTTCTTGTAGACACATTAAACGTTTTTCTTTGGTAATCATATCACACGTTATTCTGGTAGGCACATTGCACGAGTTCCTGGAGGGTACGTAACACATGTTCCTGGAGGGTAAATTACCTGTGTTCCTGGAGGCGCATTATTCATGTTATTCGAGATAGCATTACCCTTTTTCCATTAGGCACGTTATACCTGTGCATGGAGAGCATAATAAAAGTATTCCTAGAGGGCACAATAGTTGTTTCTTGAAGCGTATTACACATGTTTCTCCAGGACACACTACACATGTTCCTGATGGCCCATTACACATGTTCCTTGAAGAGGAATTCACATGTTCCTGGTGGGCACATTTTACATGTTCCTGAAAGGCATAGTAGGCCTGTTCCTGAAGTTCACATTACACGTGGTCTTGGAGGGCACATTTTACGTGTTCTTGGGAGGCTCATCATACGTGTTCCTAGATGGCATACTATAAGTGATTCTGGAGGGCATATTGAAGATGATCTGCAGTTGCATTACATGTGTTTATGGAGGGCATAGTACATTGTGTTTCGGGAGGGCGCGTATTACACATGAACTAGAGTTTGGACTACACTTATTCCTTAAGGGCATTATACACATGTTCCTTTAGGGCGCATTACTCATGTTACTTAAGTGTATAATACAAGTATTTCTGACGGTATATTACATATTGTTCTGGAGGGCATATTTCAAGTGTTCCTCATTAAGACCTCACATGTTTGCATTCCGCGCATTTGACATTTATTTTCTTTAAAAGAAATATTTGTTTAACATTTTTGTTGAATCTCTTATTGTTTCAAATAGGAATAAAAAGAGATAAAGGCATTCAAAGTATCTTGTTTCCACTATATTTAAATCCACATGTATCGTAACATATGTGTAAATTTTGTGACAAGTTTGCAGTGTTAAAATTGAAATTGAACAAAAACCTACAGAACTGTTATTATATATTCTAATATGACGTGCTTCTTTCGCTTTGTAAACAACAGAGTGATAAAATTCTCGATATATCTATACTTAGCGCAGATTCCGAGATGTACATAATAATGGCTGTTAAAATATACCTCCCACGTAAATCCGCATATATCGTAACCTATGTGCAAACGCTATGTCAATTTCGCTGTGTTAAAAATTACAATTAAAAAAACCCTACAGAACCTTTATTCTTATTCTGAGACATAACAAAAAGAACCAATGCATTAGAGATCGGAAAAAATGTACAAAATCAAAATAAATTAAAATTCCGCGAAATTCCATGAATGTTTTTGGCGCATTAACGTCATTTTAAAACATGACGTCATACAAATGAAAACGACAAAGCTGAAGGGTTTTCCATTGCGTTTACCTTCTAAACTCGGATAATATTGCATTAAAATAAAATTTTGAGGTAGGTGTTACTTTTTTTCTATTCTATTGCATTATTCGCACATTTACTGATTTCAGCAAGTCAACATGGCGGCTCCTTGGTTACAAAATGTCAACAGTGAATTCGACGGTAGCTTACGAGAAAAAAATGTAAATTAAAAATGGCAAATGTTGGGTTTGAGAATTAAAAGAATCAATCACATTTTTTTCTAGCGGTTATTTAAGAAATGATTTATGCCAGCTACAGATTTATTACATTTTTTTTTACATTTATCTAACAGTGGGTAAAATAGAACAGCCACACACACGGCATACCTACCCTCGCTTCAGTTTTTTAATGACAGTATTTGTCCTATTAGAATCGAAATAATTCATGGAAGCCATAGATTTGTTGTAATTTACACATGGCCTGGGCCGTGATATTCGTTCATTTTATCCCTCGCTAAATTCGAATATCACGGCCCAGGCCATGTGTAAATTTCCAACAAATCTATGGCTTCCATGAATAATTTCTTAAACAATGCAGAAAAAAATGGATTCAATGCATTAGAGCTTGTCAAAATTTATAACATTAAAATAAAATAAAATGACTGATTTTGGCGCATAAACGTCATGTCAAAATTTGACGTCATACGGTGAAAAAAATCTCAAGCTGAAGGTTATTCCGTTACTTGTACGCTCCAAATTCGAATGAATATCTCTTTTAAATAGAACTTTGAGGTAGGTGTTAGTTTTTTTTCTATTCTATTGCATTATTTACATATGTGTGAATATCAGCAAGTAAACATGACGGCTCAATCCTTAGTTACAACATGCATGTCAACTGTGGATTGGACGGTAAATAGTAGGAAACGGCAAAATATTCTAAATTAAAAATTGTACCGATTGAAAGCTTGGTTTTACTTCTTTAGCTTGCTCTTATCTGACTTGGTACCATGATGTCCAAGGTAACCAGTCGACAAATTATATAATCCGGAGTCAAAAGTCGGTAAAATGGACTATTTTCATATTACCGACTTTTGACCCCGGATTATATAATTTGTCGACTGGTTACCTTGGACATCATGGTACCAAGTCAGGTAAGAGCAAGCTAAAGAAGTAAAACCAAACTTTCAATCGGTACAATTTTGGGGGAAAATTACCTTGTTAATATTTTTTTTTTCACTACAAAATCATTGGATAACAGTAAACTTTCCCCTCAAATTACACCGATTATATGTTTGATTTTACTTATTGTGGTTGCTCTTACTTGACCGAGTACCATGATGTCCAAGGTAACCAGTCGACAAATTATATAATCCGGAGTCAAAAGTCGGTAATACGAAGATAGTCTATTAAAAATGTTTGGGTTGAGAGTTATGAGAATTAAACACATTTTTTTCTAGAGGCTATTTAAGAAATAAATCTTACAAGCCATACATTAATTGGAAGTTTTAAGCTTTATCTTACAGGGGTAAAATAGGACAGCAACAGACACGGGAGACCTACTTCGCTTCAGGTTTTTAAGTACCATATTCGTCCTATTAGAATTGAAATAATTCATACAAGCCATAGATTTGTTATCATTTACACATAGCCTTGGTCGTTATATTCGTAAATTTCTACGCTCTGGATAAAATTCGAATATAACGGCCCATGCCATGTGAAAATTTCCAACAAATCTATGGCTTGCATGTGTTATATCTATCATTGATTATTAACTATTGTTATTAACATATGTATTATTATTTCCTGATAAAATTGTTTCAGCAACGCATTTCACGATGGTTTCTTAACACAACAGCGTACTATTCCAGTAAGATGTTCAAGATAAACTGGCGCCTTATTAACTGTAGATCCAAATTTTGAAGTATATTGTTGATTGCCTCTTAAAGCTAAAAGATAACTATTGTAATCTTGGTGTTTTAAATGATTTTTTTTTTATATAATACTAGTATATATTCTTGAAATTAATTTTACCCTCAAACATTTCGAATGCTGTATCAAATTAATAAGTTCATTTCTCCATAAATTGGAAGCAGTATATCGTTCACACGTAACTTCATGTCACTATCTTCACTGGCTACAATGTTTGTTGAGTGGCAGTGATCTCAAATTTGAACACATAATTTACTGTAGCTGAACATTTTCTCTCCTGAAGAGGGTGGCGCTTTGAAATGCTGGCAGCTTTGGACAAATTAGTATTACCACTTTTAGCTGTATGTAGATCAGACGGCAATGACGCCGTTCACTTTTTACTTTTACAGTTGTCTTCTTTCAACCAATGCCACCTAAATACTGTGTAATAACTAGTTTAGTACCTATTCGTTGTACTTGGTTTATACCAAGTACGCTTACCCATATCCGATCTCCCTTCATTAAAGGTACAACTACCGGACCCAATGTTACAGGAACTGCTGTATAAGGTGGTAGATTAGTTCTTTGACATGTATTTACTTCGTCTACAGTGTACCTGCTCATATTGATACATGAAAGTGAACGAAATCTATCCCTGTCAATCACTTTAGACGAAATTTTATCACTGACGCTTGATGTGTCTAAATTAATTGTTGCTACAATATGGAAAGTTCCATTCTGTTTTACCACGACTGTGTCTCCATAAGATCTGAGAAACGAAGCAATTTGATTTTGCCAGGTAACATTTACATTTGCCATTTTACCGATTAACTGATGAGCAGTTCGGTTCATATTAAAAGTCGCTGACTGGATGACATTCGTTTGGATTTTTGTAGAGACGAGAGGTTCACCTGTAGTTGGAGGTTCACATGCAGGTGGTCGCAAATAAACATAGACACTCCAACCCACCAAAGGAATTACTAAGAATAATAGAAGTAAAAATGTCGCAATTAACAAGTTTCTAGCATGGTTATTGTTGTTTATTTCAGAGTTATTTGATTTTTTATCTACTGATTCTGTCATTTTAGTATGTTTGCCTAGATAGCTACTATTTACAACATTAGATATTGATTTGTTTTCTGTATGTTCTTTTGTATCAAATTTATGTTGGTCAACGGTAACATTTACCATTGGTATGTGTCCATACGAATTCCCCGATCGTTTTCTACTTTCTTGCGGCTTATTCGTCATTAAATCAACGTCCTTGGTGCCACTTAAATTACACGAGGATTCAGATTTCAAATTGTTATGGGAGTCGCTTATATCTTGTTTAGTAGCAAAATGCTCTTCTTTCATTAAAGGTAATTCATCTTCTGAAAAAGCCATGCTTTCAGTACATTCTGATTTAAACCTCGACTTTCGTTCATTAACCAAAATATATGTTTGTGCGTCCTGTTGGTCAAATTCATTCATTATATTGGCATTGCCATTGTCGATAACTTTCTGTATGTGTAGGCTCTGACGTTTTTTTTATAAAGATGAAATACTCCCTAAAGGCCAGGTACATGTATTCCCTGTTTTTATTTTCTCAAAATCTTCTTTGCTTTCGGTAGCACATCTTTCCATGTTTTTTGTTAAACCTAATCTTTGGCAATCTCTACAACACAATAGATTCATTAGTTCATTATAAATGTTTTCGTCATCATTATCATCATCATCAGCATCTTGATGAGCAACAAGAAAAATTTCAAGATTATCTTTAATGTTTTTTTTTCGGCCGTACATGCTGATTGCATCTTAATTATACTTTCAATGATGAGTTTTTAAGTAAACAAGTTTTTACAAAACAATGCAGTAGTCCTTGGCATATGGATGTTCTTTAAAGCTGACTAAGAAATATATTTGGTAAGTAAAAGAAAAGGAAAAAAAATGGAAATTTTTCTCATGAGCTGTATGAATGTATTTTTATTCGAAAAATTAAGTAACATTTATTTATAGTTTTCCCTGAAAGTTTAATAGTTTAACAATTTTTATACAATCGTCTTGATATATTGAACTTACTTGTACCTTGGATCCTTTTTAGTATGGAACTCACTTGTATATTCCGTTACTGACTGTAGCAGCGTCTTAAATGATAGGACATGTCTAATGAAGCACAGATTTCGAAATACCCATATATATATATAAACTGAAAATCCACCTGATCAACTTTTATTTTTAGAACGCTCGTAACTATTCAGGTGGCACGGTAGTATTTCCTGGCCCATAAGGGATAATGATAGCATTTTTAGAATTTTCACCACTTTCTAACACTGCCAAAAATTCTACATTCACAATTAACTGAACTACTTTCATTTTACTATTCAGAAATGAATTTGAATATGTATCATGACCGTTTACTTTTTTTGTTATCTTTAAGAACCTAAGGCCACTAGTGCTTTTAGGTCTTTTATCGTGCAGTGAATACAAAATTTAAAAAAATTCTCAAAAATTCATTTTTATTTGTATGTAAAATTATTTCTTATTTTTCTACACCTGATTCATCCCTCAGTTTGGGAAATATGTTCAGTTGATACTGTATTTTTTGTCCAATCATAATGTTCAGATACATTGACTTAAGTAGGGTACACAAAAGAGCAACCTAAATTCTGGAATGCAAATACTACCGTGCTACATTTATAGCTTTTCGAACCAAATCTGACATATATTATATGTTATTCAGGTCTCAGACAAGGTATATTATAATGTGACATTCCCGGCTTAGGATTAATATTCCCTGAGCTGAAAAATTTATTAAAAAAAAAATGCATTTTAAGAGAAGGACATAAAATATAGAAACATGTTCTGAATATATATACTGCATGACGAATATTCAAAAATGCATGCCTGGTCCTGGAAAAGACATTAAGGAATGGGTAATACGTAATATATCACTTAATTAATTTTTCATCACCTCAGTCTGGATTACACATAATATTTAATATTAATTCAGTAGTAAATATTATAGCTGTAAATATCATATATAATATGAGGATATATAATGTTTGCGCACATTATGCGTTTAACATGAAATTTACAGATATATTCTTGGAGATTGTGTTCTTACTATTTTGTTCAGGAAATTTTTGGTCTTTTTATTTTATCGAAATGAAAAGTGAATTTATCATCAACAAGCTAAAATGCATTTGTATGGTAAAATACAAATGATTGGAAACAATAACATGAATAAGCAACTCGCCTAATTGAGCAAAAGTCAGAAAAACAATGCTTTTGATAGAAATACATCAAGACAGTTCAATGCTCTATTTAAAGTTGAATTTCAAATATTTGTAATGACTCATAGGATATAAATGCACATATAATACCAATGTGAAAAAATACGATGCCTTGGTATCAATGTGAAAAAATACGATGCCTAGGTATCAATGTGAAACAAAGACGGTGCTTTGGTATCAGAGTGAAAAAAATAAGGTGCCTTGGAATCATTGTGAAAAAAATACGATGCCTTGGCATCAGTGTGAAAAAAGACGATACCTATTGACTTGTTTGCAATATATAGGATACCTAGATTAAATAGAAATCCAGATAAAGCATTCATATTGCTGGATCGATAAGATTTTTTCCGATCAACCTTTTTCCAAGACCTACCGTATTGGTTGGGGATAGAATATTCATTTTTACATGTTGCTAGGCAGTCTTACTTATTTTCGTTGTTAGCGCGAGATTTCTTTTCTTCTCGATTTTTGCGCAAAATTATATCCTGCATTTTGTTAGAAAAATTATTAATTTTCGTCCTGTCTTTTATTGGAAAGATTATTTATTTTTTCAGTTCTTAGCAGGGCATTTTATTCATTTCTATACTCCTCCTGTCCATCTCCCATCCCTCAAACAATCAAGTGGGTCACGTTTTCAAATGTGTGCGCATGTCACAAGTCATGCAGGATTGTCGTCAATAATTATCGCTGTACGTGTGTTTATTTTAATTTTATTTTATACCCGAAATCGAAAATTGTATGATACATATCAGTAGTATCTTGACGACAAATCTATTGCGACGTCATACTTGGTTTAAATAAAAGAGCGTAACAAATACTCACTCCCATTTTTCCAAAAATTTCCAGTTATAATATAAATAAATGATAAATAAGCTTTATTTATAGATTGTTTTACTCCCAGTTCTGTTAATTGTAAGAATAATACTCAAACATTTTTACGTCAGTTTTGATAGAAAATATTTAAGAGGAACAATACTTATAGAAGATACGAATATAAAATGTAGATTTGGGATTGTCGTTTAAAAAATATTACTTAGTAAAGATTAAATGAATTATCCAGGACAATATGTTTTTGTGAGCCTTTTTAACCCACGCATGAAAACAAAATGTCTTGCAAATTCTACTAGGCTGCAATTTTCTGGTTCTAAATTGTAACCGTGACCCTACCCTCTTCATTAAACGCTTTCATGAGGCATTTTAACATTTAGACCTGTTTAATTTATATGATATATTAAAGTTGATGGTGGGTTAATTGGAACATAGTGGCCCCACCATTTGACATAATTGCCACTTGCTAATTTATTTGTGCAATCTATGTACAAATAAACAGCTGCGCTAAAAGCGCATGAAACGCCCATATTGTGCATATTAAAATTGTTGCAAGAATAAAATTGGATATTTCATAAGCAAATAAAATGGCTCTGTAGAAAAACATGCCTGAGGATACCGTTTTTGAAATCGAATCGTTATGTTCAACAATTTTATCAGTTATGTAAAGTTTTAACTAAATCAATCAAAGCAAACTCAAGTTATGGTACAATATGTGAAAAGATACTAAAATCTGACAAATAAAGTCTCATAACTCTAGAGCGACAAAATGAAAATTCAAAAAATGAAAACGGGATCTTCCTTTCATTAATCCCCACTATAATATAAAGTTTAGAGGAAATAAATACAGGAATCCTGGAGTTAATGCGCGATTTGTGAGAAATAGCCTTAAATAAAACAGTTAAAGTTTCGTAACTCTAGAAAGACAACATCCAGAAGATAAAAAAATTCAAAAGGGAGCTTCCTTTCGTCAATCCCAACAATAATGTAAGGTTTGGAGGAAATTAATTCAGGAATACTGGAGTTAATGCGTGACTTGTGAAAAATTGCCTTAGATATAATGGTAAAAAAAAGTTCCGAAACTCTAGAATGACAGAGCCAAAAATTAAAAACAATTCGGCCGTTTCAATGTTATGTTAAAGTTATATGAGAATTGGTCGAAGCGAGTTTGAGTTATCGTTCGAAGTGTTAACGGACGGACGGACGGATATTGGTATACCATAATACGTCCCGTCATCGACGGTCGTATAAAAAGACAACAAATAAGTAAATCAAAAAATTTTTTGCAATTATATAGGCAGTAAAGTTTTACAAAAAAAATGAAGAATATTTATCATTAAATTCGTGTTAGACGTTTGTTTGATGACAATTACCGATTTTTTTTCATTTATTGAAAATTCAGATAATCTAGATTTTTTACTTCCATGAAAGTTTGATATTTTATTATACGAACAATCGATACTTTTATGACTTACAGTCTTTATGATGAAATATCAACGACTAATACCTTTTGTAAATTACTTTTTATACATAAAAACACTAAATATGCTTTTAAAATTGCTGGCAATGAACGGCTTGCATATAGATATTTAGTTGTTTTCAACGAATATGTCATGTTATTATACCTTACATATATTATAAACAATTCTATTGGGTAACACGTTATCACGTGACATGGAATAATTCAGTTAATTTTCATTTAATTGCAAGTAAGGACGAATAACCCTAAACACTTCATGATGTTGTAAGTTGGAAGGCACATACAGAATATCATCGACAACCCTTGAATTACAGGCTTCTTACTTGAGACGGGCACATACAGAATATCATCGAAAACCCTTGAATTACAGGCTTCTTACTTGAGACAGGCACATACAGAATATCATCGACAACCCTTGAATTACAGGCTTCTTACTTGAGACAGGCACATACAGAATATCATCGACAACCCTTGAATTACAGGCTTCTTACTTAAGACAGGCACATGCAGAATATGATCGACAACCCTTGAACTACAGGCTTCTTACTTCAGACAGTCACATACAGAATATCATCGACAATCCTTGAATTACAGGCTTCTTACTTCAGACAGGCACATACAGAAAAACATCGACAACCCTTGAATTACAGGCTTCTTACTTAAGACAGGCACATACAGAATATCACCGACAACCATTGAATAACAGGCTTCTTATTTCAGACAGGCACATACAGAATATCATCGACAACCCTTGAATTACAGGCTTCTTACTTCAGACAGGCACATACAGAAAAACATCGACAACCCTTGAATTACAGGCTTCTTACTACAGACAGGCACATACAGAAAAACATCGACAACCCTTGAATTACAGGCTTCTTACTTCAGACAGGCACATACAGAATATCATCGACAACCCTTGAATTACAGGCTTCTTACTTAAGACAGGCACATACAGAATATCATCGACAACCCTTGAACTACAAGCTTCTTACTTGAGACAGTCACATACAGAATGTCATCGACAACCCTTGGAATACAGGCTTCTTACTTCAGACAGTCACATACAGAATATCATCGACAACCCTTGAATTACAGGCTTCTTACTTCAGACAGGCACATACAGAATATCATCGACAACCCTTGAATTACAGGCTTCTTACTTCAGACAGGCACATACAGAATATCATCGACAATCCTTGAACTACAGGCTTCTTACTTCAGACAGGCTCATTCAGAATATCATCGACAACCCTTGAATTACAGGCTTCTTACTTAAGACAGGCACATACAGAATATCATCGACAACCCTTGAATTACAGGCTTCTTACTTCAGACAGGCACATACAGAATATCATCGACAACCCTTGAATTACAGGCTTCTTACTTCAGACAGCCACATACAGAATATGGCGGGGTTAAACATGTTTGAGGGCGCTCAACCATACCGTAAGCTGGTACAGTGGTGTAGCAGCTAAACAAGCGAACCAACTATAAAAATCAGTCGAAAATGCCATTTTTGTTATATGCTCTCAAAAATTATATTTTTTTTTTATTTCTAAGCTTTTTG